AAAAAAAAAAAAAAGGACAAAGAGAAAATCAAAGAAAAGAGGAATTACCTTTCTTCTCTTTTTTTCTTTGATCAATTTTTTTTTTCTTTTATATTTTATATTTTAATTTCTGTTTGTTTTTATATATATATATTTGAATGCCCTCATTAAACAGTTCATTTGTTGGTGAGGCGGCTCAGCATGCACGGATCCATGAGTCTGTGTCTATTACATCTATATTTAAGCGCATTATTCTCATTTCTATTCCATTGAATTTGGCACAACTTGCGCAGTTTTCTATTAATGTTTCTATAATCTCTGTTGTTGGTAAACTTGGTGTTAATCAACTCGGTGGAGCCTCACTGGGATATGGTCTTATCAACGCGACGGCTTTTGCTTTCGCATCGGGATTCTGTGGAGCACTAGAGACGGTTCTTTCCCACACATACGGTCGTGATCCGAAGAGTAAAATGTATGGTATTTATGCACAGCGAATGACTCTTATGTTATTATTAGTAGGACTTTTTCTTTCACCTATTATTTTATTTATTGATCGTATTTTACTTTGGCTTGGACAAGATCCGGATGTGGTACAGTATACGGGAGAGTTTTGTCGTGCTGCCGTATGGGGTGTTTTCCCTGTAATGGCGTTAGAACTCCTTCGACGTTACTTTGCCTGTCAACACTTAAACAACATTCTTTCTATTAACTTAATGGTAGGAGCGGTATTGTTTCCTTTTCTACTTATATTTCTTGTCAATATATTTGGCTTTATTGGTGCCCCGTTTGGTTGGTGTATTCTCATGATATGTATGTCTGGTGGTCTTTGGCTTTATCTCGTCATTACGCGTAAATATAAAGATACGTGGGGAGGCTGGGATGATGCGGCGTATAAACACTGGGGACCACTTCTCGCGCTTGCGATTCCATCTATGGGAATGATGTTGAGTGAGTGGGTCTCATTAGAAATTAATAACATCTGCGCGGGATTTGGAACGCCAGAGGAACTCGCAGCGTTTGGAATTACATTTCAGCTCTCGGGTGTGTGTTGGTCTAATGCCGCAGGAACATTTATTGCAGCATCTGTATTGGTGGGAAATGCGATTGGTGAGGGAAAACCAAAACTAGCTCGTACAATAGCTTACTGTTCTCTTATTACCACTATATCTATTGCAATCTTTAATCTTATTATTGTAAGTCTTGTAAAGGATATTTTCCCATATATGTTTACCGATAGTGAAAAGGTAGTAAAGATTGTGCATTCCTTATTAAAGTACTTTTTCGTCTATCACACCTTTGATGCCTTTCAGAGTTGTATGATGGGAGTTCTTCGTGGATGTGGAATGCAGAAACAAGGTGCTATTGTTATTCTCTTTGTCTATTCTATTGTTGGAGTTCCACTTGGAGTATTTCTCTTTCTTAAAATGAGTTTTGGTATTGAAGCCTTATGGTTAGGTCCTGCTTTTGGAGTTACGGTGATTGGATTTCCCTGTTATGTCTTTATGCTATTACGTGTTATTAAATGGGATTCCTTAAAACCACACACAGATCATCATGAATTGGATTATGTGATGGAGGAAGAAAAAGAGGATGTGGCTTCTGTGGTGATTTGCAGTAGTGAGAGTATGAGTAACTTAACACTTGTGGGTAATGAAGAGGAGGAAGATGAGGCACTGAAAGGGAAAAGGGAAAGTACGGTAAATAGAAAGAATACAAATGATACCATCATTACAGTGGGTTTAACTTCCTCCTCTATTACAGCCAACAACACATCTTCTTCCTCATCTGCTGTTGTGAATGGAATAGATAGAATATGTGAGGTCTTACCAACAAGGAGTAGTGGAGTATCCATCGAACCAACTCGTGAAAAGAAGGAATAGAAGGTTCTTTCTTTATCTCTCTTTCTATATATATATATATATATATATATATATATGATAATAATAATAATAATAATAATAATAATAATAATAATAATAATGAACCACAACACAGAAACAAGAAATCCATACAGTAAACGAATAGCGATGTTGGTGTACAAAATTTAACAGTGAAGTGGTAGTGGGAGTTCTTTAATATAGATGGAAATATAGTAATGAAGGAGAGGAAGAAGAAGGAAAACTATATCTGTATGAACTTGTTTTAATTCTTCTTCTTCTTTTGGCTATTTGTTTTTGTTTTTTTTTATCTTTTCTTTACTATTGTTATTTTTCTTTTTTCTTTCTTTTTTTTTTTACCATGAAGAAAGAACTGAAGAGAAAGAAAGAAGAAAAGAGGGAATGGAAAATTGAAAAAAAAAAAAAGTAATTGAAAGAAGAAAAAGAAAATAAGGGTAAATACAACATTAGATTAAATACAAAACAGGAGGGGAAAAGAACCCCTGCATAAAGTGGAAAGTGAAGATAAAGTGAGAGAAAAAAAAAATGGTCCAAATGAAATGAAATGGAAAGAAAGAAAGAAACAAAGAGAGAATAGATAAGACGAAAAAAAAAAGTGGCTGCTTCTGTTATTATTATTGCTATTACTTTCGATAAGGATAATATATATATATATATATATATATATTAGAAAGACGAAAGAGAAGTTTTTTATTTATTCTTTTTTTTTTTTTTTTTGTAAGGTTTTTTTTTTTTCACGATAATATGTTTGGGAATCAAATGAGAATGTTTTTACTGTTGTATAAAAATTTTTCTTTATAATAAACTTTTTTTTTTTATTTGTACAAATTCCATTTTTTTTTTCTCGAACGTTTATTTTTCATTTTGTTTTTTTTTCTTGTTTTTACCCCTTAATGAATGTGTGAATGACTTTACATGTGTTTGTGTATATGTATGTATTTCTCTGTATATATATATATATATATATATATATATATAT